GGGATATAGGGATATAAGGCTACTAGGGCTATAGGAATATAAGGCTATAGGGCTACAGGGCTACAGGGCTATAGGGCTATAGGGCTATAGGGCTATAAGGCTATAGGGCTACTGGGCTATTGGGCACCCCCGGGCACCCCTGGGCACCCGGGCACCCAGGCCCAGCCACCGAAATCGGCCACGCACCTCACCGGCCACCCGGGCACCCGGGCACCGCTGGGCACCCGGGCACCCGGGCACGGCCACCGAAATCGGCCGCACCTCTCACCTAACCCTTTAATCCGCTAGGACCCCTACAGAGGCAAGCTCTGATTGGGGAAATATGTCTTGAAATGCGGTGTGGTAATCAACAGCGCGCTGCAGCGGGCACACCACGTTGAGACCCCGAAAACAAGTTCCTGTGGGAGTCGACGAGGAGCCGTGGCACGGAGAGGGCGGGGAACTTCCAGGACGTAGCCGGAGGAGAGAGGAGAGTACAGTCAACCCGTATACAGTCGGGGCGTTGACCTAAGGAGCCCTAAACAAGGAACGAGGCCCCTTTTTTCCATAAATCAGCTTTCGATTTCCTGTCGAAAACATAAGGAAAGCCTGAGGCAAGCTGTGAAACACTTAAGGAACGCGGAGCCCCTCCCCAACGAAAAGGGTTCCTTCTTCAGGGCCCCGACTGTACGGTCAACCCGCACCGTAAGGATGGGCAACATTCCCAAGGGTACCCTTGGGAAGGTTGCCCATCCTTCATATGGTTTACCATCAACCCGCATGGTAAGGATGCGGGGCAAGAGTACAAGGGCCTTGGAAGGCCATGTCGACACTCTGCGAGCGGGGCGCGGCCAGCGAAAGTGGCCAAGGATGAGCCGAAGGGGAAGGATGCGAGGGTCACCTCGGAGAGCCGCTCATCCCTACTGTGCGGGCCGACTGCGAGGTTCATGCGGGCTCATGGAAGGGGAATCTCCAGCGATGGGAAAAGAGGGGAGGACACGAGAGGAGGGGGGGCAAGGAGAGGAGAAGGCCCATCTGGATGAGATGCGCGGTGCCGTAGTCATCACTCCCACGTGTGGACCCAACGGGGCTGCGAGCCCACCCTCTGCACCCTCGGAGGGCCGGGTGCCCAGGCCAGCGCGCACGCACGGCACACTGCGGGCCGATGGGCCCGTGTGCGGGGCGGCGTGGGACACCGCTGCCCGGGGGCACGCGCGGCGCGCCGCACACGGGAAGGCCGGCAACACCCGCAGACGCACGCGTCTTGTGCCGAGCTGCCTTCCGTGATCGCAGGGCGGCGCAGACCCATGCCTTGGCTTCTGTTCACCGGGGCCCTCGTCCAAGACGTCGCCGCGCACGTGTGTGGAGCGGCGCTGTGCATCCGCGGTCGTTGTGGTGCAGTGTCTGCCAGCCGTATTGCGAGAGCCTTGGGGGTTTGCTTGACGATTGTGCGGCGCGTCTGGATACTGTAGTACCTCCAGATTTCCATGTCTTTGATGGCGCACCTCGTCCCGCAGATCTCCGACAACATGCTCCTGGACAGGAGCAGCCAAGACGCCACCAAAAAGGCAAAGTTCGAGGACGAGGACACGAGCCTGGTGAGCGACGACGTGATGGTACAGTTGGAAGCGCGGGTCTGGGCGCTCGAGGACAGCACTTTCACGACGAACATCGTGATCAGAGATCATCCAGTGATCAAAGCCATGACCGAATCGTTCGACGATTACCTCAAAGAGCGCAACGCCAACCCCCAAAGAGAAATGGCGGGGCGAGCTGTCCAGAATGTTTTCGCGATAGCGTGCGCTTTAGAGAGCTACAAGTATCGGGACGACTCCCTGCGCAGGCAGCTGTTCATCAACATCTTAGGCCAGATCAACACCACGATGGAGAAGTCCAACCCGGTAGAGCTCAGCGGGTAGATCAAGGAGGCTCTTGCCCTCCCTTGCTGCGAGCGCCCGGGGAAGGACCCGCGCAGCAGGATCTTTTTAGACTTGCAGGGGGCCATCTTCGTACTCAAGGGCCTTCAAGCAGAGGACGCGGTGGCAAAGCAGCAGGCCGAGGCGCTCGAAGCCGGGGCCCTTCTCGAGTTGCAGACGAGCCCGCTCGAGGTGCCCAGCGTATGTATGAAGGGCACGGGGAAATTACCCACCCCCCAGTACAGATCATCGCGGAGCTCCTTCTTCACGCGGGGGGGTCGGCCACCATGACCAAGGCCCCGCGGGGGAACATAGCGAGGCAGATCGTGGGTAATGAGAAAAAGTGATCACTGCAACTTAACCGCATCACGCAATTAAGAACCCCCCCTCCCCTATCCGGCGAAAGTATAACGCACCCGGCACCCCAGAAGCGTTACCCTGGCACCTCGCACCTTTGTGAACGCAGACGAGTCTGCTCGCCAGAACAAGGCAACCTCCTGAGACATTCTCGCAATATGGTCTCCTTGTGGTTCTGAAACAAGCGCCTCGCCTGAGACATCCTCTGAAACTGCTCTGGACGCAGACGAGTCTGCGTCAGGTGGTCGGTCTGGGCGAGAACTCAAGTGGCCGCGCGTCTTCCCAGCGCTCGGCCTTCCGAGCATGGGGTCCTCTTCCTCTTCCTCTTCGTCCTTCTCAGGGGTCCTCCTCCTCCTATTCCTCCTCATGAAGGGGTCCTTCTTCTCTTCCTCCTCCTCCTCCTATTCCTCCTCCTCATAAGGGGTCCTTCTTCTCTTCCTCCTCCTCCTCATAAGGGGTCCTCCTCCTCCTCGTCCTCCTCATCAAGGGTCCTCCTCCTCCTCCTCCTCCTCCTCCTCCTCCTCCTCCTCCTCCCCCCCGCCCCGTAGCCATTTTGGCTCTTATTCGCCATTACGGAGCAAGCCAGGGGCCAAGGCCTCAGTCAAGAGGCCGTGGCCCAGCTAAACAAACAAAAATCCTCTTCCTGCTCCTCCTCCTCCTCCTCCTCCTCCTCAAGGCTCCCTTAACGGCACGGCACCAACACGAACAGCGACAATAATACCAGCAATGCGAGTTAGATCTAGAACAACAAAGCCAATAACAGCAACACCAACACCAACACCAACAACAACATCAACATCAAACACACCAACAACACCGCCAACATCAACAATAACAACACTAAGTCGCACGCAAGGGAGAGCTCAACTTTGAAAAGGAACCGTCCGTGCCTACGATGGGGGGCGAATCATTTTGGCGGTGCGGGTGCTAAAATAACGCGCCATGCGTGGCGGGGGCGATATCCTCGGATGCCCACACTACCCCACACGACGGCCGGGAAAAACAATTTTTCAATAGGGGTGGTAAAAAGAATCGTATAGGACAAGGATGGTGAAGAAAATGAAAAACAGGAGGGAGGGAGGAAAGACGCAGAAGAGCCCGTCTTTTTATACTATTATGTTATTACTATACTTACTCTGTGTCGTATTATCATTATTATTATTAGTCTCATTCTTACTTGTAATCTTCTTCTTCGTATTATTTTTGGTATTTTTGTACTTCTGGTCTTTTTGGATCAGCTGTCGTAATTATTTTGTGCGGGTGCGGTTCTAAGATAACGCGCCGTGCGTGGCGGGGGCGATATCCTCGGATGCCCACTACCCCACACGACGGCCCGAAAAAACTATTTTTCAACAGGACTGGTAATACACATCGTACAGGACAAGGATGATGAGGAGAATGAACATCATCTTTTATTATGGTTCGCATTATTATTATTATTCGTATTAGCATTCTTATTCTTGTTCTAATTACAAATATTATTATTATCCTTCTTTTTCTGATTCTTATTCGGATTATGCTTCTTATTCTTATTCTTATTTATACTATTATTCTTCGTAATCTTATTTTTACTCTTACTCGTACCATTATTATTACTACTGTCATTTTCTGAATTCATATGATTAATATGATTATTATCATTCGTAGTATTCTTCTCTTTCTTCTTATTATCATTCTTATTCGAATTCTAAATTGTGATTATTATCAGTATTGATACTCTTCGTATGATTATTATTACTCTTACTCTTACTCTGTTTATTCGTCTTATCATTGTTCTTACTCTTATTACTCGTATGCCACTCTTATTCTTATTCCAATTCCAATTGGGATACCACCCGAGCCGGGGCGCGGGAATGATTTATTATCGTTCCATTTGCGCGGTGCTAATCATATCGTTCGGCGAAAACCGCCTCCAATAATTATATAATTACGGTGCTGTGCTGATGATAACCCCAGGGGGTCCTTAATGGCTTCTTGCGGTTAGTCGACATTCCTCTTCTCCACCCCCCCTCTCCTTCCTCCCCTCCCTCCCCCCTTCTCCGCCGGAGGTCGGACAGAGCTGCCTGGCCCCAACGCTGGCCCTCAGGGTTGGCATCGGCTGGCATCCATCCGAGTGAAATTCCTGAGCAGGCCATCGGTGCCGCTCCTTCCATCGAATGCGGTGCATGAGGAGGCCTGACGCTCCAGAGCCAGTCAAAGTTCCGCAGACCTCGTCGCAATTGCTCAGTCATGGGCTCGGTTGGCCTGTGTTGAGAAAAACAAGTTGGAGAAGGGAGGGGCGGGGCAGGTCGGGAGGAACGGGGAGGAGGAGAAAGAAGATGCTCTGACCAACTCTTACGGACATCCCAGGAGCCCACGACCCGCCCAGAATGCCTCCAGGCTGGTTCCCGCTTCCGTCTCTGAGCCTGTCGCAACCTCTGCCCCCGCTCGTGCCCCCGCCCCCGCGTCGGGGCTCGGGGACTGCGCCGAAGCCCGCTGTCTCGGCCTCCGGTTCCCTTCTCGCGTTCTTCTCGTTGTCCCTGGCCGTGTCTGCGTCGCTCTCTGTGTCTCGGGCTCGAGCAGCTCAAGGGGCGGGCGCGATGGGTGCACACTTGCCCGCGCCGTTCAGCAGCGGGGGGGTAAGGGCGGGGGACGGGCCGCGGTGGCCGCCGCCACCCCAGCGATTAGGTTCTCCCATCCCTGTCACATTTCCCACCCTTCCCATCTGCCGCTTCCTTCCCGAGACTCCCGCTCCGAGCTCCTGCTGCTGATGCTGCTGATGTTGCCACTCCTGGTGCTGCTGATCCTCCTGCTGCGGCTGCCACCTCTCCCTGCCCCTCGCCTGGGCGCCCGAGCGAGCGGGGACGACTCCGGTTCGGGCCCCCGACGCGCGAACCGGGAGTTGCCCCTGAACGCCCCCGGCCCTGAGGATTCGGGGCTCTGGCTCGTCCTCCTCCTCCTCCTCGCTCTGTCTTGCCCCCCCCTCGCGAGGTCCCCCTGCGCGCGAACCGGGAGTTGCCCCTGACCACCCCCAGACCCTGACGATGCGGGGCTCTGGCTCGTCCTCCTCCTCTCTCCTCGCCCTGTCTTGCCCCCCCCTCGCGGGGGCCCTGCGCGGGTTGCGCCCCAGAAGGTGCCGCAGGCGGCACCCGTGGCCCATCATCGCTCCCGGGGGAGCCACGCCCGCGCGAGGCGCGCGGGCCAGGCAACCCTCGAGCTGGAGGGCCCGCAAGCGGAAGCGAAGCGGGGGCTTGACGCATGTGCCTCCTGGCAGAGAGAGGGGGGGATACGTAGCACCCCGCAATTGCGGATAAGAGTGAGGGGGCGGGCGCGGGCGACGCGGGCGTCGTCGAGCCGGCGGACCTCGTGGCCCCCAACTTCCCTGTCGATGGCGCTCTCCTCCTCCTCTCCCTCCCTCCTCCTCCTCGTCCTCGTCCTCTTCCTCCGTCATCGTCATCCTCCTCCTCCTCCACCTCGTCCTCCTCCTCCTCCTCCTCTTTTTCCTCGTCCTCCCTCTCCCCCCCTCGTCCTTTCATCATCGTCCTCCCATTGTCGTCCTCCCCCTCATCGGCCTCCATCATCGTCCTCCCATTGTCGTCCATCATCATCCTCCTCCCCCTCCTCGTCCTCCTCCTCCCCCTCCTCCCCCTCCTCCCCCTCCTCCTCCCCCTCCTCCCCCTCGGCATTGGTTTGTTCAGTGAACGTGGTTTGGGTCGCGGGTGGGTCGCGGGCTCTCCACCTCCACCTGGAAGGAATGCAAAAGCAGCTCGCCGCAGGCGCCAAAAATTTGGTTTGTACACTGAACGTGGTTTGGGTCGCGGGTGGGCCGCGGGTTCTCCACCGGGAGCGAATGCAAAAGATGCCCGCCGCAGGCGCCGAAAAATTTGGTTTGTACCTTGAACGTGGTCGCGGGTGTACCCTGAACGTGGTCGCGGGTGGGCCGCGGGCTCTCCAAAAACGAATGCAAAAGATGCCCGCCGCAGGCGCCGAAAAATGTGGTTTGTACCCTGAACGTGGTTTGGGTCGCGGGTTGGTCGCGAGTTGGTCACGGGGTGGGTCGCGGGCTCTCCACCTGGAAGGAATGCAAAAAAAGCCCGCCGCAGGCGCCGAAAATGTGGTTTGTACCTTGAACGTGGTTTGGGTCGAAAGTGGGTCGCGGGTGGGTCGCGGGGTGGGTCGCGGGTGGGTCGCGGGTGGGTCGCGGGTGGGTCGCGGGTGGGTCGCGGGTGGGTCGCGGGGTGGGCCGCGGGCGGGTCGCGGGGTGGGTCGCGGGTGGGTCGCGGGGTGGGTCGCGGGGTGGGTCGCGGGTGGGTCGCGGGGTGGGTCGCGGGTGGGTCGCGGGTGGTCGCGGGTGGGTCGCGGGGTGGGTTGGGTCGCGGGTTGGGTCGCGGGTGGGTCGCGGGGCGGGTTGCGGGTGGGACGACGACAACAAACAACAACAAACAACAAACAGCAAACAGCAAACAGCAAACAGCAAACAACAAACAACAAACAACAAACAACAAACAACAAACAACAACAAACAACAACAAACAACAACACCAACACCAACACCAACACCAACAACAACAACAACACCAACAACAACACCAACAACAACAACAACAGCAGCAGCAGCAGCACCAACAGCAACAGCAACAACAGCAACAACAACACGAATCCGCACCGCGGAATTCCACTTCAGCCACGCACCCAGGGACAGTGAATGACCGTTCGGCCCCCTCACTCTGATCTATATCTGTATATATATGTACAAGACTGCATTGGCGCTGCGCGCCATGCACCTTGGTCCTTGGAGTTCTGCACGCAAGCGGAATGCGTGCGTGCGAACATGCGCGCCTGCATGTATACACGCGCGCGTGCATGCACGTTCCGTATAAATGTCTAGGTGTATCCAATATACTTTCACTGTTGTATGTGTATACTGCGTACATCTGCAAATATAATGTTATGTGTGTAAGGGTATGAACATGCATATGCAACTCGTACGGGGCATCCTCGGGCATCTTCGCTGCATGCCATGAGACCCTCAATGACTGGGTCACGATATGAAATGTCATGGGAGCAAAATCAATGAATGTTGGCATTGGGAAACATCGTGGGGGGGTTTTCGGGGCCCTCGTGGGCCGTTTTGGCGCCTTCATGGGCCGTCCTAGGGCCTTCTTGGGCCGTCTTGGGGAGCTTGGGCCCGCTGGAGCCCCCTTTGGACCAATTTTGAGCACTTCCGGGGACCTCCCACGGCCCTTTTGGTTCCATTATGGGGCTGTCTTGGGGCTCTCGTGGGCGATCGTGGGGCCCGGCTCGGCCGTCTTGAAGCTTTCTAGGGGGCCTTTTGGAGCGTCTGGAGGCGATCTCGGGGGCTTTGAAACCGTCTTGAAAGCTGATGAAATCCGAAAGGCGAATATGCTAAGATTGTAAGTTTTACAAAGGGAATGGGACGATTTTTGTAGTTTGAAGGCCCCTTGGAAAGCTTTTTGGGGTGCCTTGGGGGTCTTTATGTTGCCATTCGGAAACGTCGTGGGGGTGTTTTCGGGGCCCTCGTGGGCCGTTTTGGCGCCTTCATGGGCCGTCCTGGGGCCTTCTTGGGCCGTCTTGGGGAGCTTGGGCCCGCTGGAGCCCCCTTTGGACCCATCTTGGGCACTTCCGGGGACCTCCCATGGCCCTTGTGGGTCTGTGCTGGGAGCCCTTGGGGGGCCTCTTTTTTTTCTTCCAACTTGCTCCTCTGAGCCGACGCACGCGTAACGCGAACCCAATCCAGGAAGCCAGGTGAGACGGCGTACCATTGGGCGACCTGCCGACTCTGCCGACCAGGTGCGGAGCAGGACTGACTCAGCGAGATGCGGCGCTTGGCGCGGGTAGGTCTTGGCACGTCGTCAGGCTCTTTGAGAGCTCTCTAAAGCAAGATCAATCGGCACCGAATCGGGAAACGGGATCGAATGGTTCCTGCCCACTTCTCCCTCTCGCTGTCCCTCTATCCTCCCTGTCCATTGCTCGCCCACTGAGGCCGACGGCACCCGCGCAGCCGCGCAAGACAGCTCACTATTTAGGCAAGCCTGGTGGACCAGCACCTTGCGGCGGGGGGGCGAAATAAAATCCCAACTCACACGATGAAACGAACTCTTCGCACATGTGGCCCGAAGCTAAACGCTCCGCGTTCACAGGGCTGATCGCACTGTACTAAAATTGACTTACCGACTTACCTACGAGTCGCGTTCAAATGGGAACACACTGCCACTGTGCGACCTGCGCACCCTGCAACAGAAGTCGCGCAGATCTTGAAACGAGCAGTGGAACCAGAAACATTTGCCGGCCTTCCGGCGATGCCCCAGCTGGTCTGACTACCTACCAGACCACCCCAACCCAACCAGAAGGCCCGAATTCGACCCGAATTTCGGGTTGGGGGGGGGGGGTACGGATCCCATGTGTTTTTTCGATGTTCCCCGACCCCCCCCCACTGGAAATCGAGGATAAATTTGGGCCTTCGGGTTGGGTTGGGGTGGTTTAGTGGGTGGTGATGGTCGGCTGGTGCACATCTGCCGCCAGGCCCCTCCTGCTGCATTGGGGGCGACGGCAGGACGACGAGGAGCCCGCCCGGCGGAGGCGGCGGCGAGCGCGCGGCAGCGCGCGGCGGCGGCGCCGCCGTCAGCGCGCGCGGCAGCAGGAGCGCCGGAGGGCTCGTGGCGCGCATCCGAATTCACCGGAGAAGCAGAAAAGCGGCTGGTGCCGACGCATTCGACTTCTGGGGTCGGCGCCGGACCCCCTGCCCCGACAGAGGGGCCCGTGTCCCGGTCGAAGAGAGCTGCACGCAGGGCGCCGGAAGGCAGAGGCTCCGAAGTCCGTGCGGAGCTCCATGTTTCTCCCGAGTAGCGTTTCGCTGTAGGGTTCGGCACGAGCACCAAGACTCACTGTTTGGGCGCCCGAGTTATCCAAGGTAACTCGGGTCCGGGGTAACTCGGGTTCGGAATCCCGAAAAACGAATCCGAGTTAGCCCTGACCCGAGTTACCCCTGATGACTCCGGGCTCTGAACTGTTGCGATCAGGCACGATCTGGAGACGCACTCTGGCGTTCTGGCTCGGCCTGGCCCACGAGGAGCCCCTGGGAGGCCAGCGCCAAAGACGCACGCCCTGGAGGGCCGGCGTTGTCTCGACCGGCGCTCCTCCGACGACGGCAGCCCGCCTCGGAGACTCTTGGTATTACCTTTGAGCAGGGAGCGATCGTCCCGGCATCCCTATGGGCCTCCCACGACATGTTCTTAGAACCCAAGAATGTTCTGGGAACGAGAGCGCTGCTCTTAGACCATGAGCCCCATGCGTGAAAACAAGACGGTCTCAGCCAGAAGTGTTCTAATCACGCGTCTTGCGGACCACACAGGGTTCTTAGAACATTCCTTGCTTGGCCTATTTGCGAGCTGGGACGCTTCGCCACTGCTTGACTGCCGCGGTTCCCCTCCTGCTGCTCAGGAGCAGCAGCGCGAGGGCGAGGACCCGCCCTGCGGAGGCGGCAGCGCGCGCGCGCGGCAGCGCGCGGCGGGCGGTGGCGCCAGCCGCGCGCCGGCCGGCCCCTAAACGGAGCAGCGCGCGCCGCGGCAGAAGCGGCGCTGGCGGGCTCGTGGCGCGCATCCAGCTTGCCCCAGAAGAGCGAGGAGGTGCCACAAACAGATTCCTACTTGTGAGATTTTACCGGGCCAGGGGCCCACCCATCCGCCGAGCGAAGGGCGGCGCCAGACGAGGCGCGTTTTATTAGAGTCCTCCTGCTCGCAGGAGGGCCAGGATTCCGGCTGGTCAGAAGAGGGAGCCCCTTCTTGACGCGACGTCCTTGCGCCTGAACGACTCGAAGGCTTCGTCGAGCTCCGACGACGCGGCAGTGGAACAATGCTCCTTGATCAGGTGCTCAAGGTGCTCAGCGCACAGCTTCTCCACCCGGAGCACGTACGCGGCGCCGTGTTTGTATAGGGAGTCCGCCTGCCTTGTCGTCTCCGCTGTCATGATGCACCGGGCTTCTGGCCAGAGCTGCTGCCCTATCTTCAGAATTTTCATGTTGGTGACGTCCTGCAGCAGGGAATCCGATATCGTGGAGATGACGAGTCTGGCCTCCCCGTGGTGGACGTGCTCTAAGACGTCTGCCGAGGAAATGTCGCCGTATGAGGCCTTGACACCCCGCGCCTTCAGCGACGCCAGGAGCTCCTCGTCGCAGTCGACCACGTGAACCCTTCTGATCAGCTGGGGGTCGCTGGCGAGCATCGCTGCCAGCAGCCCAGCGGCAACCTTGTGGAAGCCCAGGAGGAGGATGTCGTGCTCGTGGTGGTCTTCGTGATCGTCAGGGGTCGGGGCGCCAACGCCCTGGCGGTGCCGCAGGCGGGACGCGCAGCCGGAGATTCGGCTCCAGATCGCCCTGTTGTTGTCGATGAAATAAGACGACGCCACGGCAAGGACGGCGAACGTCCAGATGATGATCGTCAGCGTGTCGTCCTGGATGTGCCCGAACTGCATCCCGAGGCTGCAAATCACGAGGGCGAACTCGCTGATCTGCGAGAGGTTGATCGTGGCGACCCCCGCGAGGTTCCCGCGGCCCCCCAGAAGGCGAACCACGGAGTAGATGCCGATCCACCGGCAGACCAGCACCACCGCGGCAATCAAGACGCCAGTGCCAACAGCGACGAACGTGGGAGGCGGGATCTGCATGCCAAGGCCGACGAAGAAGAGGGTGATGAAGAAATCTCTGATGTATTTGATCTTGCCGTTGAACTCAGCGCTGTATGGGAATGCAGCCAGGGCCACCCCGGCGATTAGGGACGCCAGCTCGAAGCTGAGGCCGACGAACGGGAGGGTGGCCACGCATCCCACGAAGAAGCACCAGGCAAGGGAAAGAACAAGCATGAGCTCGACGTTCCTGGAGGAAGAGTACAGGACTGCGGGCATCACAAACTTCGCGTAGAGCATCGCCACGGCGAGCAGGACTGCGATCATGCCGAAGGTCTTCAAAATGATAACGATGTCGGGCGTGTCCAAGCTAGGTTGTATGGCAAGGATGACAATGGCCCAGATGTCCTGGAAGATCAATATGCCGATGGTCAGCCTGCCGGGAGCGCTGTCTGTATCGCACTTTACGGACAATCCCTTCACCACGATCATCGTGGACGAGATTCCGCACACAATCCCGGCGTACGTCGTCGCCATGTCGCCCTTCCCGAACGAGATCCCAGCGGCCCCGAGGCCCATGAAGATGCAGATGTGGAGGCCGGCGCAGATTGGGAACTGGAGGGCACCCGTGAGCAGCACCACCTTGCCCATCTTGAGCAGCTCTTGCACGTTCAGTTCCAGGCCCACCATGAACAGTAGAAAGATGAGGCCCAATGAACTCAAGGTAGAGATGTCCTCGTGGTCGTGTATGATGTTGAGAACGTGGGGGCCGACCGCCACGCCTCCAAGCAAGTAGCCCAGGATGAGCGGCTGCTTGATGACATTAATGGCCATTGCGAGCATCCCCGCGCAAAGTAGGGCGTAGGCTATGTACGTCATCAGCGGCGGGGCATCGCCGCCAAGGCGGCGGCGAAGGTCGCTCTCGGAGTCGCTCTCCCCGAGGTGCGTGGACTTGGCCATGAGGGTGAAGAGCACGCCCGCTAACGCCGCGAGGTAGATGGCAGCCTGCACTGGCCTCGTCTTGGTCAGGGCGCTTCCGCTCATGACAACGCGGCTAATCCCTTGGCTCACGAGGAACTGGAGGTCGGACCCTTCGAGCTGCTGCAGCTCCTCGTCCGATAAAGGGGCGACCCCAGGCTTCAGGCTGGACCTGGAAGCCATGGACACGCACGTGCCCGCGGTGTCGACGCTCTGCTTCATGCCGAACGCGGGCATGCGATTCGACCTCGATGACGAGGCTGGCCCGAATCTTACCCGGGGATCGGCGGAGGGCCGCGGCGACGGCGGGCCGCCGCCGTCGCTGTACTCGTCATCGCAGTCGACCTCGTGCTCCGACGGGCTCGCTGAGGACCCTCTCTGCGCGCGCGCCTCCCGCAGCTGGGCCGTGAGCTCGTCGTTCATCCTGTAGAGCCTGTCGTTGTCGCGCCGCAGGCGTTCGACCTCGCACATGCCCGGCGAGGCCGGGCGCGGCTCTCCCGGCTCGGAGAGGGGCCGCGGCAGGGCGGGGCTCGCTCGGCCGCCGCTCTGCGAGCTCTTCCCGCTCTTCGTCGACAAGGGGTCTTTTTTCGCATCTGGGCTCAAGACCGCGGCGTCCGCGGCGATGGTCGCGATTTCCGGAGCCTCCGCCATCCGTCGTCTGTGGCAGGGGGGACCGTCCCCAGGGAACTGAGCTCAAATGGCTTGAATTAAAACTGCTTGATGGCTACGGAGCCCTTGGGGGGCCTCTTGGTTCCATTATGGGCTGTCTTGGGGCTCTCGTGGGCGATCGTGGGGCCCGGCATCGGACGTCTTGAAGTTTTTTGGGGGGCCTCTTGGGGCGTCTGGAGGCGATCTCGGGGGCTTTGAATACGTCTTGAAAGCTGATGAAATCCGGAAGGCGAATATCCTAAAATTGTAAGTTTTACGGAGGGAATGGGACGATGTTTGTGCTTTGAAGGCCCCTTGGAAACCTTTTTGGGGTGCCTTGGGGGTCTTTATGTTGGCATTCGGGAACATCGTGGGGGTGTTTTCGGGGCCCTCGTGGGCCGCTTTGGCGCCTTCATGGGCCGTCCTGGGCCTTCTTGGGCCGTCTTGGGGCGCTCGGGCCCGCTGGAGCCCCCTTTGGACCCATCTTGGGCACTTCCGGGGACCTCCCATGGCCCTTTTGGGTCTATGCTGGGAGCCCTTGGGAGGCCTCTTGGTTCCATTATGGGCTGTCTTGGGCTCTCGTGGGCGATCGTGGGGCCCGGCTCGGCCGTCTTGAAGCTTTTTTGCGGGCCTTTTGGGGCGTCTGGAGGCGATCTCGGGGGCTTTGAATACGTCTTGAAAGCTGATGAAATCCGAAGGGCGAATATGCTAAAATTGTAAGTTTTACGAAGGGAATGGGACGATTTTTGTGCTTTGAAGGCCCCTTGGAAAGCTTTTTGGGGTGCCTTGGGGGTCTTTTGGGCCGTCCTGACGCAATTGGAGTCCCTCTTGGAGCGCTCTTGTGCTGCCTGGGGCCGCCCTTGAGCCTTTCTGATGACCCTCGGATCGCTCTGGGTCTGCTGGCAAGGCGTTTGTGGAGACCCGGAAAGCCGGGTGACCTTTTCCAAAGACGTCCAAGGGAGCCCGAGAACCCCAGATCCCGGGGGTCCAGTTTTGGGGGGTGGGATGGTTTCCCCCCCCCGGGCTAGTAAAAATATAGGAAGAGGAACATATATTTTTATATATATATATATATGAGGACATACATACAGAGAAATGACTGCAAGAGGCAAGTGTCTGACAACAGCACGCCGCACGCGTGCGCACTCCATTACGCACGCGTGCGCGCAGGCGCTCGCGCGAGCGCGCGCCGATGGGGCGCAATCGACGGGTCACATCCAGGAAATAACTCACCGCTTTGAGTTGCAAGGTACAGGAAGCTGAGACAAGGCCGGGGTGAGGAGGGAGGGGTTCTCGTTTCGTCGAGGAGGGGAGAAAGAAACACTCCGTGGGGGCCAGGCCCGTCCATCCACTAGACATTCAGAGGCCCAGAGGCTATCCTCAAGAGGAGGATCCAAAGACGCCTGGGGACGCCGGCCCCAAAGCCACACCGAAAGCTGGTGCACTGCCGTTTCGAGGAGGAGGGGGGGAGCGGAAAAAGCCGACCGCTGAGCAGCCCGTGTCACGCGCATACGGGGCAGGAGTGCGTGCGAGCAAAGGCAACGCCGCCAGGCTGGGGATCGGGCGTTGCCAAAGGTGTCCCTGGCCCAGAAACTGCCCCCCTGCTTTTCCGTCGGTCCGGGGATGCCAGCAAGTGAACTATCCCTCGGGGGTACCAGCCCATCCTCGCACCGTCGTCTGGCATGGCACGGTGTAGCATGGTTCGTTCGACGCACCGTCTCGATGACAGTGGAGAGGGGGCAACATTTTTCCACCCTTCTGATACCATACGTATGCCCAGTACGTGTGCCTAACCCGCCTGTGTATCCGACACCGTGCCTACACGGAGTGGGCGTGTTAGAATGCCAAGACTGCTGTTTTTTTTTTTTTTTTTGTGTGTGTGTGTGTGTGTTAAAAATTATAAGACCCCCCTCGCCGCGCGCATCCCTAAGATATTGCCCTCTGTTAAATTGCTTTCCGGCTCTCTGTTCGGCCTCCGAACGGCCAAGATGGCCTCCAAGACGGCTCAAGATGCTTCCAAGACGGCCTCAGAACAACTTCAGAGGCTCCCAAGACAGCCCAAGAGCGCTCTAAGAGGCCCTCCAAAAGAGCCCGAGGAGGCCGACACCACTGATTTTCTGTAGGTTGTTGAAGGATTTTGAAAGTCTCGCCTATTTGGTTTTCGACCGCCCAAGACGGTCCAAGGAGCTGCTAAGATAGCCCCAAGAGGGCCCCGAGTCGGCCCAAGAGTACCCCAAGATCGCCCAAGAGGCTCCTAAGAAAGTTCCAAGACGGCCCTAAAGCGTTCCAAAGGCACCAAGAGGCTTTCCAAGAGAGCACGAGGAGGCCAAAACCATTCACCTTCCTTACGTTTTGTTGTTGTTGTTGTTGTTCGTTTTTTGTTTCCAACCCTCCTTGTTTGGGTATTCGTTTTTAATAGAGCACTGTGGTCGCGTCCCTCCTCCTCCTCCCGCCTCCCGCCTCCCGCCTCCTCCTGCCCAATCTTCGCCGACGATGGGGGCTGCGATCTGCGAAACTGTCGCCACTTTCGAAGGCTGCTGGTGGGTCCTGCGGAGTGAGGCACCGCGCAGATCAGAGCGGGACCTCGCCGTCCCTGGGGGGCTGCGATCTGCGACATTGTCGCCACTTTCGAGGGCTGCTGGTGGGTCCTGCGGAGTGAGGCACCGCGCAGATCAGAGCGGGACCTCGCCGTCCCCGGGGGGCTGCGATCTGCGACACTGTCGCCACTTTCGAGGGCTGCTGGTGGGTCCTGCGGAGTGAGGCACCGCGCAGATCAGAGCGGGACCTCGCCGTCCCTGGGGGGCTGCGATCTGCGACACTGTCGCCACTTTCGACGGCTGCTGGCGGGTCCTGCGGAGTGAGGCACCGCGCAGATCTGAGCGGGACCTCGCTGTCCCTGGGGGGCTGCGATCTGCGACATTGTCGCCACTTTCGAGGGCTGCTGGTGGGTCCAGCGGAGTGAGGCACCGCACAAATCTGAGCGGGACCTTGCCGTCCCTGAGGGGCTGCGATCTGCGAAGCTGTCGCCACTTTCGACGGCTGCTGGCGGGTCCTGCGGGGTGAAGCACCGCGCAAATCTGAGCGGGACCTCGCCGTCCCTGGGGGGCTGCGATCTGCGACACTGTCGCCACTTTCGAGGGCTGCTGGTGGGTCCTGCGGAGCGAGGCACCGCGCAGATCTGAGCGGGACCTCGCCGTCCCTGGGGGGCTGCGACCTGCGACACTGTCGCCACTTTCGAGGGCTGCTGGTGGGTCCTGCGGAATGGGGCACCGCGCAGATCTGAGCGGGACCTCGCCGTGTGTGGGGAGCTGCGACCTGCGACACTGTCGCCACTTTCGAGAGCTGCTGGTGGTTCCTGCGGAGTGAGGCACCGCGCAGATCAGAGCGGGACCTCGCCGTCCCTGGGGGGCTGCGATCTGCGACACTGTCGCCACTTTCGAGGGCTGCTGGTGGGTCCTGCGTAGTGAGGCACCGCGCAGATCTGAGCGGGACCTCGCCGTGTGTGGGGAGCTGCTATCTGAGAAACTGTGGCCACTTTCGAGAGCTGCTGGTGGGTCCTGCGGAATGGGGCACCGCGCAGATCTGAGCGGGACCTCGCCGTCCCTGGGGGGCTGCGATCTGCGACACTGTCGCCACTTTCGAGGGCTGCTGGTGGTTCCTGCGGAGTGAGGCACCGCGCAGATCAGAGCGGGACCTCGCCGTCCCTGGGGGGCTGCGATCTGCGACACTGTCGCCACTTTCGAGGGTTGCTGGTGGGTCCTGCGGAGTGAGGCACCGCGCAGATCTGAGCGGGACCTTGCCGTGCCTGGGGGGCTGCGATCTGCGACACTGTCGCAACTTTCGAAGGCTGCTGGTGGGTCCTGCGTAGTGAGGCACCGCGCAGATCAGAGCGGGACCTCGCCGTCCCTGGGGGGCTGCGATCTGCGAAACCGTCGCAACTTTCGAGGGCTGCTTGGGGGGCCAGCGTGGCGATCTGCGGAACTGTCGACACTTTCGACGGCTGCTGGCGGGTCCAACGGAGTGAGGCACCGCGCAGATCTGAGCGGGACCTCGCTGTCCCTGGGGGGCTGTGATCTGCGAAACTGTCGCCACTTTCGAGGGCTGCTGGTGGGTCCAGCGGAGTGAGGCACCGCACAAATCTGAGCGGGACCTTGCCGTCCCTGAGGGGCTGCGATCTGCGACATTGTCGCCACTTTCGACGGCTGCTGGTGGGTCCTGCGGAGTGAGGCACCGCGCAGATCTGAGCGGGACCTCGCCGTGCCTGGGGGGCTGCGATCTGCGACACTGTCGCCACTTTCGACGGCTGCTGGCGGGTCCTGCGGGGGGAAGCACCGCGCAGATCTGAGCGGGACCTCGCCGTCCCTGGGGGGGTGCGATCTGCGAAACCGTCGCAACTTTCGAAGGCTGGCGGCGGGTTCAGCGGAGCGAGGCATCAGGCAGATCTGAGCGAGACATCGCAATCCTTGGGGGGCTGCGAGCCTCACATATGCCGCTCGCAGAAGTATATGCGCCCATGTCACGTCATCACCTCCGTATAACGTCTCCCAAGCTACTCATGCCCCGCGTTGCGCAGGGGTTGGGTACGTCGCCAGGGTAATATATATATATATATATATATATATATATATATATATATCGGAGGTGAGAGGGTGAGATCGAAGTGGAACGGAGAGCCCCCCTACCGGGAAATCGGTTTCGGTTTCGTGTTCGTGCGTGCCGTTCGTGCGGGCGAGGCGAAGCTGCATGGGCGGGCGAGAAATGTCCCGCCTCTGGCTGAGGCGTCGCGGGACCAAAAATCTCCCTTCCGGCAACCGGTGCCCCGCGGTGTCCCGCCGGTGTCCCGTCGGTGTCCCGATGATGATGATGGTGATGATGATGATGATGATGATGACGATGTTGTTGATGATGGTGATGATGGACATGGTGGTGATGATGATGGTGTCCCGATGATGATGATGTTGATGATGCTGATGTTGCTGATGATGATGGTGTCCCGATGATGA